CTCAAAGGCATGGGCCGGTCGGAAAATATGTCCAATTCGACTGCAGGGCACGATCTCAATTTGTCCGCCGCAAAGCCACAACTTAATGGCCAACTCAATGGACTCGCCACCCCAAATCTACAGAGCAAAAGGAAATGAGATGTTGCTGTGCACTTTTTAGTTTCCCTCAATTCCCTCAGTACTCAATTCAGTGTACGGTGCAAAGTTGTGTGTCATGGCTTGACATAAGCAATTGGCACACACTTGCCACAAGCACAAGTTAATTAGGTGCGGGCGCTTACCTCCAGATGCGGATTGAAACCGTGCAGCTTGTGGAACGACTCGCGTGAGATCATCAAGATGCCACCCGCGAAGGCTGGACTGGCATATGGCTGCGCCAGAGCCTCCTTCTCGGCCAGCACCCGGGGCAGCCAATGGAAGTGCAGGCTCCAATCGAAGCCGCCTTTCAGCAACGCATTCCCGGTCATGTAGCTCAAGGTCTCGGGTTCAATGGGATCCAGCACCGGGCTGACCGCAACCCTAGAGTTCAGCGCCAGCCGCTCCAGCAGGGGCTCCAGCCAGCCATCGTTGACCTCGCAGTGACTGTCCAGAAACAGCAAATAATGGCCGCTGGCCAGCCGGGCGCCCTCGTTGCGTGACCAAATCAGGCCCTTGCGGCCCAGATTGCGTCTGAAGATGAGTGTGGGCCGCCCCCGCTGGGCATTTGCTGCGGTCATGTGCCGTTCGAGACTCGCCAGCAGGCCGGCTGCGAATGGCGAATTGTGAATGGAGAACGGGAGAGCGGGAGAGAAATACATGACAGAGAATGTCAATATTGCAGCTCTTTGCAAGGCTCACCATCCTCACTGCCGTCGTCTATGACAATGAGCTCGTGCAGATACTCCTCGGGCGTTCGACTGATCAGCGTTAAGATCGTGCGCAGCAGCATCGAGCGCGCCTCATTATGAAAGCAAATCACAACGCTGAGCTTGGCCTGGCTGGCTTGAGGCAGCCTATAGCGGCGCCTGTTGCAGCTGCAAGTAATTAAATATCAAGTTGAAGTTTCCATGGCTGACTGACTGCCAGATACCCTTTACAGCTCACAATATGTTATTGGTTTATTATGATATAATATGGATCTATAACTTACCTAAGCTTCTTGCTTATTCATAAATAAACACTTCCCAATCTATTCGTTGCTATACACACCTGTGATGTCGTGTCGTTGGCAGGAGACGCACTGCAGCCAGATTGTCGCTCAGCTGGCGATTGTATTGGTGGAGTGCGTGCGGCTGATCGGGCGTATGCGTAATAAACTCGCGCCATTCGAGTTGGTGTAGGTTCAGTTGTTGCTGCTGCAACAGCAACTAGAAAACACACACACACATATAAATTGTTGTCAATGCTAAAAGTTTGTTGTACTCAACACTCACTCGATGGCTGATTAATTCATCGATTAGGCCAAAGCGCACTACCAAAACGACAATCAGCAATTGCATGGCCAACACAGTTAAGACGCCGAGCAGGCAACAGCGCAGCCGGCGATGCAGGCGGCCGGACATCGCGGCGTTTGCGACCGACTGTATGCCACATGCTGGCAGCAAACGCGAAAACCCGTAACGCCGCACGCGTCGTCAATGAATGCGAACCGTAATCGGGTTTCTGGGCAAATGAATATCAGCTGAAAACTGATATTTCAGGTGTGTTTGCTTGCTTCGATGTAGCCATGAGTGTGTGTCGTCATAAAAAGCTGAAAATTGAAAACTTAAAACTGGTCGCTCAATTTTGCCCCCCTCTCTCTCTCTCTTTCTTGCTCTAGCTAGCCCTCTCGCTTGCTCCCACTATCTGGCTGGCTGCTGTCAAACTTGTTGCTGATAAGCAGTTCGATAAGTTTGGCAAATATTTGTGTGCAGCTCACAAGGTGTTAATTATACCACATGAAATCTATATATTACCTGTCATGCCTGTCAGTTAGTGGGCGTACACATACACACATATCTCCGAAAATACATAGAGATTTACAAAACAAATTAATATATTGCGTGTTATCATTGGTAATCACAGTTTGCTATTTCAATTACACAAAATAAAAGCACTTGACAACGTTTTATGCTTGGATCAGTTCTGAGGGCGATGGATTAGACAATGTCTGCTTGTACTTGTTGTTAAAATAATACTTTATATATTTACAAATTACAATTAACTTACAGAGAATAATAACATCATGTGTTTCAATGTTTGATTATTTAATTCAATTTTATTTTCGTTATAAGCCAACCAGAGTAATAAAGACACATACATATACACATTTATATTTTCAAAAATAATTTTTAAAAAATACTCTCAGCTTTGGCTGATCGTATCTAAACATTTCAAAACAAAGCTATGCGTTAGCTCCATTCGTATTTCATTAAACTAGAATTTATTTGCAATTGCTTATCTTCTAAATCTTGGTTACACGTCAGAGCCAAGCCTATGGGGAATTAGTTGGTTAAAATAAATGTTTTTGGCTTTAACAATGAAACCTAAATAAATTGAAAATGAAACATGGCCTGGCCTGGGCTAAACAAATAACCAGTCGGCTTAGTCATACTCGCATTGCTTCCCTATTGCATTGATATCGATTATCAGCCCATTTGAGAGTGAAGTCAGCTGATAYGAGTAAGCAAGCAAGCTTCATGCTTTTTCTGATGTGATTTAATTTGAAATTGTTTAGCAAAGCGGAAGTAACCCATTCACTTAGCAACAAATCGAATGCCACACACACAGACATGCACACAGACAGACACGCACACATACAAAGCAGGTAAATTGAAGTGTTACTTCCGCATTGCATTAGGGTACAGATGCTACGTGTTGTTGCTGTTGTTGTTGTTGTTGTTGTTGTTACTACTATTGCCAGTGCTGTCCAGCTGCTGATTGACTTACGTGTGCCTCGTTTTAGTTTTCGGTTTGTCGTTGTAAATTTGTTGCCAGCTTTTACGTGCAACGGAAATGCATTTTCCTAGTCACGTTCAACTGCCAGACCCCAGCCAGACCCAGACTCAGACAACTCCGCAGACCAATGTCCAGTTGTTGTAGTTGTTGTTGTTGTTACCGCTGCTGTTGCTGTCCACAGGTTAGCTAAGAAATATAACCGAATGGCGCAACAGCGACTGGCAAAGATTCAGATTCATGTATTTCTCTTTGCATTTTTTATACCCAGCCAGCTCTGTTCCTTTTATTATTTTCTCTGGTTGGCCCCGGCTCACTCGACGCGCCAATTTATTAGATGGCGCGTGATCCATGTTTGCCTCCATGCTCCATAGATTAAAGTGCTTTTTAATGAATGCACCAGCAGCGATCTCTAATTGTATGCAGTGTCGCGTGCGCACCTCCATAATTAAATAGGCGCCGCTTGAGGGCCACGACCGGGAGTATTTCGATGGCAGCAAATTCAATATTCAATATGTTTTCAATTTGCCATTGTTGGCTATGGGCATGGCAATCGCATCAAAGGCAAACGCAAATGCCGTGAAGCAAATAAAAATAAACGAAATTATGTCAATAAATGAATTACAAGGCGCACGCACAACGCTGCGTATACGCGATGCCCAACAGCTCAGCTAGTCAAAGCGGCACACAGACAACGCAGCACCTAATGGCCATGTAAATATGCCTCTCTCTCTCTCTCGCTCTCTCTCTCTCTCTCTCGCACACTCCACTCCTTTCTCGATGTGTGTGTCGCCATGATGATTATTATATTGCCACTTACACATGCGTGGGCCGCCGTGTGTGTTATGATAATGTTAACAGCCGAGCTTCTAAAATTTTATTAGCCGTCGACTTATGGAACTTTGAAAATAATAACAACAGCAGGGAAAGTGTTTTACCCATCCTCACACAGCTTTTCGCTCTCCCTCTCTCTCGCTCTCTAGCTCTGTCTCTCATTCTGTTATGCAGAGCTCTTGCTTCTCGAGCATAAAGAATATTAAGGAAATTGCTTTCTTTGCACTCACGGCTCAGCATTGAGGCAGCCAGGACTTTCCAGGACTTGCCACGACGGGACGCACTCATTTCGAAATTGCTGCGTATTATCATAAAATTTTATATACACACACACACAAACACACACACAGGCACTCGCACAGAGTACGTGCATACTCATACAAATGCTTTGGCGATTTGCTTTGCTTTGTATAGTTCTTTCTCTTTTTTTCCGGCACAATTTTTCGCAAATATTTTCATTGAGGTTTTTGGTTTTTATTTTCGTTTTTGTTTTCTTTTTTGCTGCATACTTGGGCTACACAAACGTGTTTAGTTTAGTATTTTCTAAAATAATTGTACAAGTACAATTCAGTTGGCCGAGGCAGCGCTGCAGCTCCAAATATTTGATTTGATGTCAAGCATTAATGCTCGAAAATTTCATTTCGGGTTCTTTGTAGCAAAAAGACAAAACGAACTGTAAAATAAGAGAATAGAGGAAAATAAAAGAAAAACGAAAATCGTATAATTTGAATGATTTCCCATTTGCAGTTGGCATAAAAGAGAGAAACATTTTAATGATGTTTACACAGTTTTCATGTGCCATTCCATTTACCGGCAGTCGGTGCCGTCTGTTTCACAGCATTATGTGCTTTATTTCGATTGACTAGAACTTTTCACTATGCCCGGCGGAGTACTTTAGTTGATGACATTATCGCTGCAATACAAAAGCTTTCTTTTGCCATCCGCCATCCGCCCCGGCGTAGTCCTTGTCTGTCTGTTGGTCTTGGGAGGCTGCTGCCACTTCATTTCTGAGTTTACAAAGTTTTTTGTTGATGAAACAAACACCGTGAGCGAGCACAGACACAGACAGACAGACAGACAGACAGACAGACAGTCAGACAGTCAAACAGACAGCCAGACAGAGAGATGGTCCATTGAATGGATGTGACATGATTCGTGAAACCAGCAAATGTGAGTATCTAAGTATTTACATTTTTGCCAACTGCCAACCATTTGACAGCGGAAATTTGTCATTAATTTAATTGCTCAGTTTGACTTTATTTATTTATTATTCAAATATTTTGAATTGAATCTATCAAATGTCTCTGGAAAGTTTCTAATTTTCATTCAAACTGTTCTTTTCCCTTCTTCATCATACTTGAAGTGGCTGGTTAAACGATCTCCTCGTCCACTATGGAGACGGCAGCTGTTCGGAGCATTTTGCTTATGAGCCTGTTCTCTCTCAGCAGCCTCACATAGACATCGGCGTTCGATGGTACAGGACAATTGTGACCATTAATGTTCATGCCACAAAAGGCGCCTTTCCACACGTAGGGTAATCCATGGCTTCGAATGCATTCGTCTGTGTATTGGGTATTCTCCACGCAGTGCACAGCGGGTTCTATCAGCCTCGCATTCCTATTGAGATTCTGGCATTGATCGTGTGGCATTTGAGGCACGAATCTCGGGATCGCCCTGGAATAGGTCTTATCCCAATTCAGTTGCATAACTTTGTCCTGGGGCTTCACGGCCTGCATGCAAAAGGGAGGCGGTGTATCAAACTCTTGGTCCAGCGGCTTTTGCAGATGCAAAAAGGACAACAGATTAGAACCACTCGACATCGTGTAATCTGAGGACTGCGAGATTCTGGACGCTGGTTGGGCGGTGCCATCGGTGAAATGCACAATGATATCGGGTGGGTCCTTTTTTTCCAGACAGTTCGTGACTGTGAGCACCGTCCGGTTGTTGACCACGATTCCGGAGCAGATGATATCATAATTGAACCTAAGATGCACCAGATATGAGTGCAAATCCTTCTTTTTAGATCTAGAACGCCGACTGTGACGATGGTTGATGGCCCAATGGGCAGGATTGTATCCAAAGTGGGGTCTCCAATCGTTCCATTTATACGCCATTTTGATCAAAGAATAGCGCGCTATATCCTTCGGCGACAATTCATCAGCCCTCAACTCATCCTGCCGGCAGACAAGCAAGAGCACTAGGGCTAGTCGTATGATTTTTGATAGCATTCCAAGTAGCTAGGAGTGACAGCAGCACCAGAGTCGATGTCTGTTGAGTAGCTCACACCTGTGTCTTATGCATTTTGCTACACTTGATGAACGTTGGAACTGTGCATTCGATAAGGTGCAACAGGTTGCATCGAATCGATTCATTGCAGCCATTACTACGCCTCAGATTGGTCTCTTATTGCTTTCAGATTGACTCAGGTTTACTTATTTTCGAATGCTATGACAGTATAATTTGTATAACATGAGAATGTTACATTCCAATTTAATTTCCATACCCAATTGAAAATGGGAAATCAGGGTATAATGGTTTTATGAAAAGTATGTAACAGGCAGAAGGAATCATCGCAGACCTTATAAAGTATATATATTCTTGATCAGGACGACGAACTGAGTCGATATAGCCCTGTCCGCCTGTCCATCCGTCCGTCCGTCTGTCTGTCCGTCCGTCCGTCCGTATGAGCAAAAGAATCTCAGAAGATATAAGAGCTAGAGAGCTGAAATTTGGCATGCATACTCGTGCATGCCATATGCAGTACAAGCTTATCATCTTTTTTCGATAACTCATCCGATAATGTTTTTATCTAGAATTATCGAAAAATCGAAAAATCAACTTTGTTTTTTCAGCCTGATTTGAACACTTTTAGACCTGGATACTTCGAATTTGCGTTGTATGTGTTGTATGGATACAAAGTAATTTACAGATTTTGGATACCACGCCCCTTCGCCCACAATTTGTAAAAAACGTATTTAAAGTACTAGAGACTTGTGCTTTGGAATGTACATACATTTTATCCATATGATCACACTCTGAAAGTTTCATAAAGATAGACTTACTACAAGAGAAATTATTCAACTAAAAAATTCTCATAATATTTCCCACACTGCACTGCAGCGCAGCCCATGCGCTGCTTACTGCGCAGTCAGCAGAGGGCGTGATTATACGAGCGTGTCTATGTATGTGTGCATAAATGAAGTGCAGAATTAGTAGAATATCAGCTTAGAGGGTTCAGGGTATTTCCTAGTCGAGCACCATCGACTGGATCCTTCTTACTTGTTTTATTCTGTATAAGGGTATACAAAATGCCATACAAAACAGATTTAATATCCACGAACCTACAAAATTTTGTCTTCCACCTAGGATTCGATGATTCTAGCTAGCATTCTCCTTTCGTATGCCTTCTCATTCAGAACGAGGGCATACAGATCGAATTTCCTGCCAGGAAGGCACCTCCGACCCATCAAGTTGATGCCACATATTTGATCTTTGAAAATGAGCGGGGAGCCGTAGTTACCGGAACAGCCAGTGGAATTAGGCTCATTCGTATTCCCGATGCAAACTAAAAACGCATCTGCATAGCTGAAAGTCGTCTCATTTACCAGAGCGCGACAATATTTATGGGGCTTTACTGTGACCAATTCATTGATCACCCCCTGTGGCCCATATACGGACACCTGTGCCGAATCCTCAGGCTCCAGCAACTTGGTGCAGGTGGCCGGTATTATGGCATCATCTATCAGAGGCTGGTTCAGGTTGATTTGGGCTATCGTATGATTGTCAGCCATTGTTACAGATGTGGAATTTACTGTAATCGTCTTGCCCCTTAAAGTCTGTATAGTTATGTGATCTGATTTTATGCCCTTGGCGCATTTCATAGTGGTTGCCACAACACGGCTGCCTATCAGTGTTCCCATGCAAACATTCTTCCTGTCGTCAAAGATGCGCACAATTAGTTGATCCACGTTCACTTTCTTGATGGATCCCACGCTTCCAGCTGTTTCGTTTCGGCTTACATTCACCGTAAGCTCGCCAGGTGCAGCTGTGGTGTCTGCCGCAATGTGGGAATACCGCGGCACTGGACTGTAGTCCTTCTGTAAGCCGTGCCTATGCTGTCGCCTGTAATCGGACAGCATATAACGATGATAGTGATATTGGGGCTCTACGCTGGTCAACTCGCCGGCCAGGAGAATCGATAGCGATAAAAGCGACAGGTGAAGCGTTGTCATTGTTGGAAACTCGCTTCTTACTGCCTGAAATGCAAATCAGTGTATATCTTAGCCCCGTCAAGGTTTGTTTACACAATCTGTTTCTGACATGCTACAGTTCATTTCTCGGTCTAATAGAAGTAAATGGATTAATAGCCGTATCGGTGACCTGTTTATAGATTGGACGAGAAAGATTTTTGAAATTGGATGGATATATACTTATGTACTTA